ATTCAGTAATTTTTCTGTACATGGTGTATCCTAAGACAGTCAATATACAATGCAAGTTTACAATCTGGACAGCAGTATCTAGTCTCTTTTTGAATTAGTTTTGCATTATTATTTTAACCAGAAATTGAACACAGGACCTTGCATTTGCCAGGCAGGTGCTGTGTCGCTGAGCCACACCCCTGACCCCTTATTGATTTTCTTTGAACACCACCATTTTCACCGTCATGTTGGCCTTTACTTTTTTCTTTGGGTTGTATTATTTCAGTAAAATGTCTACCTACTTAATGAAGACTTTGATAATGATGTCCTGGTTCTGTTCTGTCATTCCATATTTTCAATTCTTTGGCCTATTACACATAATCTTCTTGAACCCCCTTGTTTTTATAACAAATGAGTTCCATGTTGTTTGGTCCAGAGGGTGCATAAATGTTTTGTAATTTTTCTCTTGCTTTTTAATTACAGAATAGCTTGCTAGATATTAGTCAGCTCTGTCAATATCATAGAATTAAAATCATCGATCACTTGGAATTTTTCTTAGCTTCATTTCTTTCAAGTTCTATCATTTCTGTATTATGAATAATTGACAATAAGACTTTTTTGTCTCTCCATGTTATAACACAGACTCTTCTTCTCAAATATGCTAATTTTTTTTCTTTTTAGAGATCTTTCAGCATTTCCATTCTATTTGGTCTTAATGTCCCAAATGTGTCCATTTTGTATTGCAAAAGGGTATCACTGAGTCCTGGGGAAATGCAAAATTATATTTAATGTACTTACAATAAGTTTTTATAGATTATATCACAAACTGTAGGTTATTTTTCACAAATAAAATAAACGAAAATTAGCAAAAAATAATCAAAACTATTAGGTTTCACTAGAAATAAACATCAAAGGCAAACAGAACTTCTAAATAAGTATGTAAAAACAGTCACTATCAAACAAACAGGGGTGTGCACACCTGTAACTCTAGCATTTGTGAGGTTGAAGTAGGACAGATGTGAGTTCAAGGCCAGCCTGAACTATACAGTGAGACCCCCGTCTCAAAACAAAATGAACGGTAGATGTACAAGCGTATCTCCTGTAAATAAGAATCAACTGGTTGAAATAATACCTGCCTGAGACAAATATGCTGCCCAAGTGACTCTCAGGATAAACTGTTAAATGGTTAAAGACCATCATGAGTCCACGTGCATCAGCTGCTGGGCAGGTAAACACCTGGAGTCGTCCCAGCCTGGACACTGCAGGGACTGTAGGTAGAAGTTTACTTCCTGTTTACTTTTGTATATTTAAAGTTTCCCATTAAGAAGGAAAAAAGAAAATACAAGAGCATGAGAAATTGTGAAATCTGCTGACAGGCTAGGTTTGAAAGTGGCTTTGGCCTCTCAGAGGGTACGGGTGGTTGTGACAAGGACAGTTTACTTAAAGAGGACAGCCTTCCAAGCAAGAGGGATGTGGAGTGACTGGGGGCCACCAACCTCTTCAAGTATTCTGCAGGAAACAGGAAGAACATGGTGAGCAGCTGGAGGCATCCAGGGACCTAGCGCACTGGCTCACTTGCGGGTTGAAATGGACTACAGCTGCATTGCTGACCACTCTGCTCCCCACATCTCTGGACAACGCTCCCTTGTCCTCACTGTCCACTTCTCCCCTGCCCAGTGCTCCCACCCACCCAGCAAGGTGCACCTTGTATCACCTCAGTTGCATCAGATGTTTCCAGGTGTGGAACATTTTTGCAACATTTTCAAGAAAATTTTTACCAGATAGTCTTGGTTGTAGTGTTCTTTTGGGGTCTCTGTAGTCCTCATCTGCAATGTAGGCCTGAGCACACAGTGTGTTTATACTAAAGATCAAAACTACACGAAGTTTCCCCTAAAAAGCAAAACTTCTATGAAAATACTGTAAAGTTTCTTATACTAAAGATCAAAACTACACGGTTTCCCCTAAAAAGCAAAACTTCTATGAAAATACCATAAAGTTTCTTATTCCCTTAAGTCCTGGAATATGGTATTCCATAGGAGGAGCAGCAGCGTCTCTTGTCTTTGCCACTTGAAATGACAAGCCCAGAAGCACTGACTCATACTAAAGGATCATGGGCTGGAATTTACTTTAAAAAGTAACTGAAAAGCCTCAGCAGTTACCAAAGGATTTCTCTTTGAAAACATCAGAAAATAGGTAGGAGGGGTAGGCTGGAAAAATGAGCCTTTGACAAGTTCAATGAAACTGCAGTAAAAAAATGGCATGGTTGGAAACACTATTTCTCCCACACCGCCCTTTGAGTGGATCACAGTGAGACCAGGGCACCATCTGAATAACACCCTCCCTGCTGAGAAGTTTCCCTAAGAAGTCTCACTGTCAGTGCAAAAGGCAGCGACAGACACTTCTGCCACATGAGTCAGAAAAGGCCTCTGAGAAATTCTTAAGAAACAAGAGGTATTATTAGTGCTTCTATTGTGGTGGAAAACTAAGAGGGCCCCCCAAACTGTGTTCTTACGTGGCTAACACGGGAGGCAAGACAGCACAGCAGGAATTTGAGTCTCCTTCTCTATCGGCTACCAAGCGCCCTTATTGCTGTGCTCTGTGCTCAGCCAGGGATGACAGCCTCTCCATTGTGTCCAGAAACCAAAAGAGCATACCAGGAATGTGCCATCTAGCAGACTTCCACATTGGTCCTGAAATTAGAGGAGCTTGGAGCCTCGGCTAAGATGCCCACATGTGCAGAAGAACCTGGCTTTTCAGAGTGTGGAGCTCTGGGAAATAATGAATCACATCACCAGAGCACAGGGCAGGCCCAAGAAGCAGACCCAGCCCGACAGGCAGGGCCGCGTCACCGAGGACCTTTCTTCCTGCTCCAGATAGCTCTTAATGCAATCACTGGAGCACATTTGAAGTTTTCAAAGAAAGATCACTGTGGTAGTTGGGAACTCAAGGAAAAACAGACTATTATCAAGATTAAAACTGAAAACTGATGACTTGTTGGTCTGACTTGTTTTCAAAGCCTAGCTTTGCTTTGGTTTGGCTATGCTTGAGCACCTCCAACAGCTGAAGCTTTCCCTCTGTTTTGGCATTTTAAGAAGATTCCATTTTTCCCTGATACATAGCTTTTGTCACAAGGGCACTATGAGGCAACTATGAGGTCAACGCCGGTTATGCAGTTGACCTTCACTTATGGAACCAAGATCTTTTGCTTCTCCAAGTTTCCATGTGCTCTCCTCAATTCTAAGCCCCTGAGGGGAACCCATGGTGCTGTGTTCTGCTGTGATCCTCACTCTCTGTCCCTGAGATGCACTTCTCCAATATGGACTGAAGTACAAGAAAAGCACAATTTGGTGAATGTCTTAGAACATGTTTTATGTAACCCCTGTCCTTTCTTCTAAAATACTTTTTTTGGTGTTAGGATTCTCTCTATTAAATGATGGCACAGGCCTGGTATGCCTACAGCTCAGTGGTATAAGAGCCTGCCTGGAGAGTGCAACATTGTGAGTTTGATCCCCGGTACCCAAAAAAAAGGCAACAAAACTTTTGTCTTCCGGTGACAAGAAGCTGACATCCCCAATCTATGTACTGATGCTTTGCTTTTTTTTTTTTTTTTTTTTTTTTAAATTTGTGGCACTGAGGATCAAATTCAGGGGCACTCAACCACTGAGCTACATCCTCAGCCCGTGTTGTGTTTTGTTAGGACAGGGTCTCACAAAGTTGCCCAAGCTGGCCTTAAACTCCTGATCCTCCTGCCTTATCCTCCAAGTAGCTGGGATTACAGGCATGGGCCACCAAACACCGCTTACTATTTTGAAGTATTAATCTAGAAGCCCAGGTCGCCCCTGCTTGGACTCCCCTCCACTACCACCCGATATCAGTCAGGTGAGAGGGACAGACAGCCAAGGCTGATAACCACCTGCCAAGTGTCACAGTTGATAGCTAACTATTCCACAATCAAGAAAATGTTGGCTCAGTGTATAATTAACTACTTATTACTTCCTAATTATAGCTTTGGAATTTAGCATCTTAATGAGAACATAAAACTTCCCTTCATTGGTGGCTTAGTCACTCACATTTAAATAATGTTCAATAAATAGTTAAATAAGATCCTCAAAAGGTATTTACTTCCCTGCTCAGGAAAGTACTTTCCTAAGGAAAGAGGAGTGTGAATCCTCTCACTCTATCAGCAACAGAGAATCAACTTCAACACTCTGGCTGCTGGTAGAAGTGGCCTCCACACAGGGACTTTTAGGAATCATAGGAAAAAACAGCACAAAACTGTATCACTGGAGCAAAGACTTATTTGGGTCTCAGATCACACATCTTAAAAATGCTAGTGACCTTGCCTACCTGCGTCCAGCTACTGGGCTCCAGACAGTGTTAGTTCGTGAACATTCAATTGTGGGCTATACCTGTAACTGAGTCCAGGAGATTTACAAAGTCTTAGCTTTTACAGAAGAATCCCAGCTGGACCTGGAAAGGTTCTGTGTGATCATCCAGCCCAATCTTGCTGTTTTTGTAAACAAAAAAAGGAAGAAGAGTTTCCTGAGAAAGTATCACCAATGAAAGGACTGATTTGTTTCTGGGTTTAATCCAGGGCTTTCTCCCTTTTTGGGGGTTACTAATTTTCAAGGTCTTGGGGGGTGGGTAGGCACTATCAGCATAGGTCAAAATAGTGGTGTCGTTTACACATTTAAAGGTGGAAAATTCCATATGTAAAAAACGCACTGTCAACACAACAACTTTATCATTTCTGAATATTTCTGAAGGACTGCTAAACGGAGGCAGATGAAAGAAAGGTAAATATCCTATAACAGCACGCCTTCTCTCCACTCCCCTCAGCTCAAAAACAAGATTCAAATGAACCCCCATGTCAGTCAAATTTCTCAGGTGCTTAGAAAAAATGCAAAATTTTCTGAATCTTCAGTCTCTAGAGTACAACCAACACAAATGGATTACATTGTGTGATACCAGCAACAGAAGGGATACAGAAGTATCACCAGTGAAACAAAGCAGGCAAACTGTTATTTTACATCAGTAGTTTATTACAATACACACTGACACATAATTGTTTAAGGAATGTTCTGACATTGTCTGAGCATTTCACGGAAAGCAAATGTAACCACCCAGGTAGTAGAATCTTCCACACCTTTTCCAACAAAAAGCAAAAGCTTTTACATGTGATCACTCAGGAAGGCAAGACTTTCTTATTCTTGTCTCAGAAACGTCACTCTCAGAACACAGCCACCACGAAGTGAGCTGACCAGGGAAGGGTTTTCCCCAACCCAGTACCTGACTAATACTGCATTCAGCAGGACTACACAGGATCATAAGTCACATAAGGCTGACCACTGTATTTCATTGTAATTGAAAGGAAAGGATAAAGTTAAGAAAATTAAGCCCTGCTAAAATGCATGAAGACAAGGAGAAAATATCTGGATATTTAAAAACGAGATGCTCTTTTCACATACCTCATTTAAAAGGTTACAATTATCACAAACATTTTAATTCTTATTAAAAGATCACTGGTGAAAGCTTGCTTTTATATCTGCATATGGCCCTCCGACTCCGCACAGGCTCAGAAGCAAGCAACACACTGATGCTGCGAATCCGGGGAAGCAGGCCCCGCACTGTTTGGAGCTGCACAGGCATTTCTTCAGACCCACTTTGTGAAAGACATGTGAAACCTTAAGATTTTTCCCTCTTTCCGCAGTCACTGCGGCAGCGAGTGCTTGAATCCCTTTAGTGTCCGAACGTAATAAAGCACTCTAAGATAAAACATTAAAATGAAATTTGGGTAAATTCACTACAAAGTTCGGAACAACAAAGGAAAGAGCCCAAGCATAATTCTAATATTTTATGTAGAAAAGCATTGGAGAAAACTTTGTTTAAAAACATTAAAACTCAGGTACACATAAACACATTTTTGCTTAATCTGTGCTATGTCAAATAGAAATCCTGTCAGATACTCAAGTTTGCTAGGTAACTCGCTTGGGTTTTCATGTCTATCAGTAGAAGAATTTACACTGTTGCATATATTTACATATATATGCATATATATAAAATTCAGATCATGAAAACTTGTCTTAAATATACTTAAAACCTATACCTCTAAAAATAAATACAATAGTTTCTAATCAGCTAATTCTCAGAGTTCCTTCACAAACCATCAAAACATAATTTCTCAACAATGGCAGATGACCAATTTGCTGCACTATAAACCCATTATTTGTTAGTAAACATTTTGAAATTCAGAAGTAATACTGAAATACCATCCTTAGACTAGGGCACAGATAGAATATTGGGTTTGAGTATAAATATCTTGATTTCCTTGATGTTTAAGTCCTACAAATGCCTCTGCTTTGCCTCAGCATTTATCCAGCAGTGGGAGAGCGTTTCTTAGTGATAGCTGTCTATTCCATCGACATTACCTTCTAATCAAAGCAGTCAGTTAGCATTTCCTTTGCTGTTTTGTTTGAGGGCACCAACACAACATATCTGTATTTGATATTGCTCCCACAGATCACAGTGAGTTGTGCATGTTAATGTAATTTACGATGTGCTGATATTACTGTGGTAAGGTAGAAATAGTTCTGGATTTAAAAACAGAATACTCTTCCAGAACAACAAAATATAAATGACCTGGTGGTGTAAATCTATGTTCCATGAAGTAACTCAAACCACTGCCAGAGATACTATAGTTCAAACAACCGAAGCAGATGAAAATAGTCAAAATATTTTTCAAAGAAACAATGCAACTCACAAAATGGAATTTTACTTTTACTTTTACTATTCAAAAACAAAAAAACTTAAAATATATAAACCAGACCAAGTTGTTTTAATATAGTACAGTACTTAGCAACCTTGTTATTTGTTTTTTGAATGTAAGAATTTTAGAAATGTAGGAAATCCATGATAAATGACAATTTTTAATGCCACTGACCATTTTTTAAAAGGAAAGTCTGCCAAAATTGAAATTCAACTTCTAAAAATTACAGTGTTTTATGTGCTTACAACCCCCGATTATTAACTTCATAAATTAAATGTAAAGATTATCCTAATATAAACAAGGCCTCTTTTTCACTGATTTCAATCTCATTTGAACCTTTGGACATTCCACAAGGTAAGGCTGAGTCTCTCAAATATAAATAAACGGTGTAAATCCAGGAGGTGCTGCAGCACTGAAACAGAGGCATCAAATATACGCAGGCCGACTACAATGCCTGACTCAATAAAATGCAAAATGTGTCTAATTATCAAGTCACACTCAGTTTTTAATTTCTCTGGCTGCAAAAATGGGGCAACAGCATTGTTCTGACTCATCTTTTCCTTCGACCCTCAGTCAGAGGCGGTGTTAGGTTAAGGCCGTGGCCTCTTGGGGGGTGGCGGTGGCATGAGCTCTGCGTCAGGGTCCGGGTGCTGCCTTCGCTTCTGTCCTTGCGAAGCTGCGGTACATCTGTCGATGAATTCAAACAGCATCTCCTTGGTGACAGGATTTGAGATGCTGTTGCATACAGCTGTGGATGAAGGCAGACATGTGAGAGTCCCTTAGAGTGGCTAACTCACCACAGGTGTATGAGAAAGTTCCAGTCAAAGAAGCGAAATAACTTTCTCAAGGGCTGGATGATCTGATTAAACCAATTTACCTTTCTTGACCCCCAAATAAATGTGTTTCCAGTGACTGCTCTTTATTGTAGCACTAATTTTAAACCAAATCTTTAAATTCTGGGGGGATAAGCGTGTCCTCCCGTGGGCTTCCTCTCCCTCCAGCACAGTGCACTGCAATGTGATGCATATTCTACGAAAACCTTTATGAAAAGTATGCTATCGGTCCATCAACCTTTCTCATAAAGAAGTCCAAGCTGAAACACGTAACAACCCACCATTCCTAGGGAATAGGAAAGGTCTATCATAGCTGAAGGAACGTATTTCATTCTAGTATCTTATTTCAAGTAAGATATTATAACAAAATTATCTAAAAGCATCTTTTCTTGAGTGATCAAAATTCAGAACCAATCAATTTCATTTTATTTATTTATTTGATTTTAGAAAAAAAAGATACTGGCTTAATCATTTCTACTTTTAAAATGACCTTATTTTGTCTCAACATGGGTGCTATTTCCAACATGAGCAGCTGAATGTATAACAGTAACTGTTAAATGAAATGGTGATTTCTGGATGTTCACAGAAGCATACCATATCATCACCATCATGTGAGTCAGTAGTTTAAAATATAAATTCTTTTAACTTTTAATCTCAATTTTATCTTTTTCAACTCCACTAAACACAATTCAAGGTAACAACTACTACCACTACTAAGTATACCTTATAAACTTCAGCTAATTGGTTTTGTTCCTCATGAAAAAAACAATGATCCTGGGTTCCCAAAGCATTCAGCTTATATTCAAGGCACACACTGAGTGATAGTATAATAGATTGTGTGTGTGTGTGTGTGTGTGTGTGTGTGTGTGTGTAACAGTTTTCATTTACTTTGTTCTCCATTGTTTGTAAAGCTATTTTAGGAGCTGGAAATTACATTTTCCCCTGCTAAATTTGTCTTTTACCATCTGGCAAACAATGGTTTTTCTAGTTTTGAATAGATCTGAAATTACCATGGCTTTCGTTGTTTTGTTTCTTCAATGAATTCAACTTGTATACAGCCCCGTGTCCTATCCTTTAAACTTTTGAGCAAATGACACAGCCCACAGGTTTGGAGAGGGGAACCTAAAGCTGACTGGAGCCAAACAGGGCACAGATCTGACAGGTATTTTTCTAGGCAAACAAAGTGATGTCCAAATGACTCAAAGCTCTACCATGCGGGCCAGCACAGGCAGCACATCCTGGTTCCAACACCCTAACTTTTGTTTTCTGAATGTACTCACCCAGCCATACTCACCCATGGCAGTGTTGTAGGCATTGGGAAAACTTTTGTCTGTCCTTTGTCTCATGAAGACCCAGCTGTTGTTTTCAAATTTGCACTCTATAATTTTGTTGTCATATTGCTTTAGCTCTTTTGTCACCTGTTTTAAAGGAGAATTGAGGAAATATTTAAATCACTTGAAAGGCGTTTCAACTATGCCACTATGTGACAGACACATTAGGAAATGCCAACTCAGTAACTCTACCCGCAGAGTTCCTTGTCATCTGAGGTGTCTAATCAAGCCTAAAGATATGGTGGGCACTCTCTTGTACACAATGCTCATTTATCCAACATTTTATACATAGTTGTGCACACTGCTGTCAATATACAGCAATTAAAAGAAGCTAAGTGGAAAGCAGCCACTTTGGGCTAAATGCAAACACGTTACCTTGGGGACCAATGCCTTTGATATAGCCTGTGTGTCTGTGACTGTCAGAAATTAAATGTATTACTTAGGTTTCATCAACTTTCAGAAAGGATGTACCATCTAAATTTCCATGTCAAATCCTAAGCAATTTTTTGTATTGTTTAAAAAAAAGTTGCACACTTTAGTAAACACTAGGATCAAATTTAAGCAATGTGTATTCTAAATATTCACTTTTAAAGCAGTAATAATTAAGCCAAAACCTAGTCGTTAGGCTACTTATCCCTTCCATCTTCTAAGCTGGCATAAATATAAAGATGAAGCTACCGCTTTGATTTTAGTTGGTGGGTTTCATAGCTTCTCCATATCAGATGATTGACTATGGATTGTGATTTACTCTATCGAATCTCATAAGTATCCATGGTAACTAGAGAATCTGTTAGAAGATTCCATTGGGCTGTGAGGATGGTTTTCATAAATAAGAGCCTCAGCTTATCTTTGCAGTTTTCAAATCAAATGTCAGTCATGGTCATATTTTAATTCTGTCCTTTTCTTTCACAGCAAACAACTCTCCCTCACAACGTGGCAGATCACAATGATTTAACTTCATTAGCATTATCTGAAACGCTCTCATCTGTCTACCCATGTGCTCACTACCATCTAGGAATATGAAGGGAAGCAAATATTTAAAAGACACTTTCAATTCACAAATTAGGCACTGCATGTCTTTATAAAACTTTCAAATTGTATTATTTTTCCTTTAATAAGTATTACATTTGATTGTACTGTTTCCATTTTCAACAAAGTAACAGGTCTAATACATTCAGTGGTTCTGGTTGGAATTATGTGCACCCTGAAAATGTGATGCTCCACTTGGCAAAATTGCTAAATTTACTCTCAACTATTCATTATTCTAGCCTCAACTCTCCTTGCTTACTAGCGATTCATCTTTTTTTCACTTTTGATTCATTATTTATATCCAAGTACTGGACAGCTTGCTCTACTGGTAACTATATTTGTGTTATACATATGGAGGATTTAACAGGAATCAGTTTTCAAACCTTTCAAAGTATCCACCTTCTAAATGCAAAAATGAAGAATGCAGTTTTTAATTTACTATGTCACTGGAAAAATTATAAAAATGCCTGGAACACAGTAGACAACAAGTAAAAGTAATTGAGTATAAAAGCATGTCATGAAAGATTTCTAAAACTTGTGATAAAAATGTATCATGGTAACAGTTTTTAAGTGTACCGTTCAGTGTTATTAAGTACATTCATACTGCAATAAATCTCTAGCACTTTTTCATCTACAACCCTACAACTCTGTACCCACTAAGCATTAATTCTCTCCTCTACCCAGACCTTGGTAATCACTTCTGTATTTTCTACTTTTATAATCTTTACTACTTTAGATACTTCATATGGGTAAAGTTATACAGAAGTTGCTCTTTTGCCACAGGTTTATTTTATTTAGTATATCTTCAAGGCTTACAGCATGTGGCAGGGTAACTTCTTTCTTACGGCTGCACAGTATTCCTGCACATGTACACATGGGCACTTGGGTTGCTTCTATCTCTCTGCTATTGTGGATAATGCTGTGATGAACATGGGTGTGCAAATATCTCTGTGAGATCTTCATTTTAATTCTTTTGTATTTACATTCACAGGTAGAACTGCAGGCGCACATAGTAATTCTACTTCTAATTTTTCGAGAAATTTCCATATGTCCCCAAAATGGCTTCACCATTTTATATTCCCACTACCAGTGCACAAAAGACTGCAGCTTCCCTGCTTCCTCGGCACACTGCTTATTTTCCCTTCTTCTGATATTAGCCATCGTGAAGGATGTCAGGTGATACCTCATCACAGTTTCATTTGCATTTCCCTATTGACTGTGATGTTACGCATCTTTTCATGTGCTTGCTGCTAGTATATCTTTTATATCTTCTTTGGAGAAATGTCTACTCAAATTCCTTGCCTTTATTTTAGTCAAAATTTTGTTGAGTTATGGAAGTTTGTTATATATTCTGAATGCTGGCACCTTAACAGACACAGGACTTGCAGGTTTTTTTTCATTCCATAGGGTAGTATTTTATTTTGTCTTTTCCCCTTGGTGAGCACAAGTCTTAAAGTTTGATGTAGTCCCTTTTGTCAATTTAGTCTTATTGTCTCTGACTCTGGTGTCACACCTAATAAATTATTGCCCAATCTTATGTCCAAAAGATTTACAGATGTTTAACAGTCTAAGCTTTTACAGTTCAGTAAGAATAAAGTGAAGGTTCAATTTTATTTTGTTGCATATGAACATCCAGTTTTCCTACTGCCATTTATTGGATACTATCATTCTTCATTGCACAGTCTTGGTGCCCTTATGAAAAATCAATAATATACAAGGATTTATTTTTCTGCTTTCTATTCTGGTCCACTGATCTATCTATCTTTTTGTCATTAATTAATTGTGTGGAGTTACTGTTGCTTCATAGAATGTTTTGAAATTGGCAGGAAGTATAAAGTCTCCAATATTGTTTTTTGTCTACTATTCATGTCCTTTGAGAATCCATATGATTTTTAGGAGCTTTTCTATTTATGCAAAAAAACAAAACAAAACCCACTGGAGTCAGGTGTAGTGGTTCACGCCTGTAATCCCAGCCCTCAGGAGGCTGAGACGGGAAGGACTGCTGCAGCCCTGTCTGGGCTACATAGTGAGTAGTGAGTTCAAGGCCAGCCTGCACTACATAGCAAGACCCTGTCTCAACAAAAAACAAAACAGAGAAACAAAAAAAGGATGGATTCTCATAGATTCCACTGAATCTGTACCAATATTAAGGCTTCCAATTCATAATCATCAAATATCTTTTCTCTTGTTTGTATTTTCTTTAATTTCTCATAGCAAGAAACACTTTTTTTTTTTTTGTAAAAACAACTTTAGAAGTAAATTCACTTAAGAAGCCATGTGGTCATAAGAAGGTATACTTTGAAAACAGCTGCCAGGAAAGTTATATATGCACTTCCCAAGAATGAGGCTCGCTAGTAAACAATGTGCAGGTTGTACTTTTACTGGCTACCGACTGTAGTTAAGTCTTTATCATACAGTTTATCATTTTTGTGTTCTCAGTTTCAGAACTGCTATAAATTATGTGCTGCTCCATTTGACTACAGCAACTAAGCAGTATTATTAACTATTCTGTGATTCTGCTTGGCTAACCACTAACACTCTAGGAAACAGAGCTTTACAGAAAAGGCACGCACCTGCCACTACTAACTTAAATGCATCTCTGTGTTCAAGAACAGCACATCATTCTTTACTGATCACACCAGTTATATGCCCAAGATACACACTGTGAAGATGGTAAAATATGTTTAACTGATAAAGAATTCTTTCCCATATGTGCACAAATTAAGACAGTTTCCACTAATGTCAGGCCAAGAGAATGGCACACAGGAAGAATTTAATTACCGTATTTGTTTACTATGACAATACTCATCCTCGATCAATAACACACTATTATTTACTAAAGCAAGACCCCATTAGGCCTTCTATAATCAACTCTTTTAGCCTAGTTTGAGTTAATGAAAGCTTAAAAGTAAAAACAGTAAAATATTTATAAATCAGAATTTTATATCTGTATACACAATTACATCAGATGAACACAGCTGTATTTTTTAAGGGTAAAGAGAATATTTTATGTTGAAAGTTTTTTCTACTGCATCCATTGAGATGGCTATAATGCTTTTATTGTGTGTGAATCAACTAATAATACAAGGTTAAGAGATTGCTGGATGAAACTGGACCTAGTACTTCTAAAGGTTTTAAATCTGCAAAAAATATTTTTGTTGGGGCTGGGGATTTAGCTCAGCGGCATAAGCACCTGCCTTGCAAGCAGGCGGTTGTGAGTTCGATCCTTGGTACTAATAAAAAAATGAAAAAGACAAAAAAAAAAATTTTTTTGTTGTGATCTAACCAGAACAATACTAATTTATCAAAGACACACAGTGTCAGCTAAACTGACCTGTATGAAGTAGCCGAGGACCTGTTTCAGTTTCTCAGGGCAGGACAGGAGCCTCCACAATTATCATCTCCATTTTATGAAGGGTTGAATTTTGTTATCAGGAGTTTCTCTTTATTTTGGGAGTCGTATGGGGATTAAATGCAGGACTACTGCACTTATATAATGCTGCACTATAATGCTGGCCTTTTTTTTTTAAACCTTGAGACATGATCTTGCTAAACTGGGGTGGAACTTGGGATCTTCTTGCCTCAGCCTGCGGAGTGCAGGAATAAGAGGTGTGCGCTCCCTCCCACACCCTGCTTCATCTTTTTTTTTCCTTTTAGACAGTGAATGTACAGTGACCTGGGAGAGGGTGGTTTCTTTCAAATAAGCTGCTCTGAAGATACTTTCAAACAACAAATACCCTTACACTGAGAAAGCCACCAAAGGGATCTTTTACTTGTAATCCTGAATAACTTTTAGATTTTCAGGGAAATTGTAAAGATAGCACAGTTTCTATGTTTCATTTTACCCAGCTTCCTCTAATGTTTATATCTTACATATCATATTTTTCAAGTCTAAAACTATGAACATCAGTACAACATAAAACCAAACTATAGAGGTTCTTCAGACTTACAGGTTTCCCCACTCTATCTATTCTAGGACTCAACTCAAGAAACTGCATTGCATTTTAATGTCACAGCTCCTTAAGTGTTACCCAATCTGACAGTTTCTCATATTTTCC